TTTCTAAAGCTCCTTCTTCTCCTTTATTGCCATAATTCCTGTACATTTCCATGACTCCTGCCTTTATAATGTGTTTTTGATTGATGAGTTCATGCATTGATGTTTAAAGTTATTACTCAAGGTGCTGGAGAGATAGCTTAGCGGTCCTGGGTTTAATTCCCAGGACCCACATGGCAGCTACAAACCATCCTTAACTCAAGTTCCAGGGGAATCTGAAGCCTTCTTCTGATCTCTGTGGCATTGCATGACATGGGTTCACTCACATACATGCAGGCAATACACTCTTACACATAAAATAAAAATAATAGGGCCAGGCATGGTGGCACATGCCTTTAATCCCATCACGTGGGAGGCAGAGGCAAGTGGATCTCTGTGAGGTCAAGGCCAGCCTGGTCTACATAGTGAGTTCCAGGACAGCTGGGGCTACAGGGAGACCCTGTCTCAAAAAATAATTAATTAATTAATTAATTAATTAAAAACATAAAAATAATAAATAAAACTTTTTCCTGGATGTCATTGCTGTGAAAAAACACTCTGACCACTACCAACTTGGGGAGGAAAGGGTTTATTTATCTTACATCTCCCAGGTCACAGTTCATCAGGGAGAGCAAGGTAGGAACATAGGGCAGGAACCTGGAGGCAGGAGCTGGAGCACAAGCCATGGAGGGACACTGCTTACTGGCTTGCTCCCCTGGCCCCTGCTCAGCCTGCTTTCTTATGCAACACAGGCCCACCTGCCCAGGGGTGGCACCACCCACAGTGGGCTGGGCCATCCCATATCACTCATCAAGAAGATGCCCTCAGACATGGCCACAGGCCAGTCCAATAGAGGAAATTCCCCAATTGAGGCTCCCTCAACCCAGGTGTGTCAAGTTGACACTAAAGCTATCCAGCACAATTGACCCCTTGTCAACTTGACACACAAACATCACTATTAAACCATAATTTTCCAATTCTTGTCCCCAAGACACAATATTAACATTAATATAACACCATAAGAGAGTACAACTTTAAAAACCCCACAGTCCTCAAAAAATCGAAACACTTACAAGTTCATAGTCTCTTTTAATAGTCTCTTAACTGTGGGTGGGCTTCTGTAAAATCCAAAACAAGTACTATCTTATTTCAAAGGGAAGAATCGGGCACACCTAAGCAAAACCAAAGTCCAGCAAAGTAGCTCAAGGCTAGATGTCTGGGATTCACTCACCATCTTCTGGGATCCAAAGGGTTCTGGCAGCTCCACTTCTGATTCACTGTCCACAGCACACTCAGCTCATCTTGCACATCCAGGCCAGCTCCATTCCACACCTATTACTGCCCTGTTATGGCCTTTCCTGGCCCTTCAGAGTGCCAAGCCTCAGCTGCTCTCTGTTACCCTTCACGCCTTCAACACCAGAACCATGAAGGAGACTCTTACACATTACCAAGTCCTGCTTCCAGCTTGAAATAGAGGTGAGGGTCACCTTTGTGTGCTGATCCTGAGTAAATACCTCCCAGAAGACTCCACCACAGTGATGCTGGTCTCTTG